TACCCTTTCTTACTGAGCCATGAGGACTCATTTTCATGAGAGATCTTTTTGGGAGCAAATGGTAGATGGTGGAGATATACTGTATTTTATTATTTTTATATGTCAATCTTTACACATTTACCTTTTTTTTTTTTCCAAGATAGGAGATTTGAGAATGGCTTATCCTCAAGAACAATTTGTTTTCCAAGAAACATTAAACTTTTTGAAAGCATTCTTTAGACATACCCCCTCCCCACACCACCGCCACACTTTTTTAAAAATATATATTTATTTATTTTTTTTACAAGAGGCTGGATCTCAAAACTACAGAAACATTGCTGTCTTGTTTAACTGATCCTTAGTTTTGTAAATGCAAAGCTTCAATGCACACTTCAGTCAATACTGAAGTATTTTTTTTTAACAATGGTACAAAAATACATTTTATTTTATAAATATATTAAATCAATACTGTATTATCATGAAGACAAACATGTTTGAACATGTTGAAGGAGCTCAGTGAAAGTTGAGGAGGTAACAATATGGATTTATCGGAGACTAAAACTGAGTGAAAAGACTGAATTTGAATAGATTTGTATCCAACCAGTAACAGTTCAAATGTAATTTTATTTACTCTGATGACTTTTAGAGGGTACTTTATAAGATTCAAAGCTACAATTTCTTAATTTATTTCTTAGACCCTCAAAGTTTCTTCTAATATTACAATGAAATGTACTTTTTTGCTATTTTCTGTGTCAGTGTAATCTAGATGAAACTTTATTTGCTACTTTGAATGTTAAAGTGATGAATCACGTTTGGTCCACTCAGCAGCTGCTCCTCTGTTTGTCAGCAGATGGACTCGCCCACTTATGTAAATGTTCAAAATTCAAAAATTTCCTGAGTGCTGCAACAGCTTTTTGACCTTTCTTTTAACATCACTAAGAGGACACAATATTCATCTTAAAGATCTTTTTGTCTGATTCTGATGAATTATAGTTTCCCTTTATCTCAATTATAGTATGTTTGGTTGTTGTATTTTTTTTTTACCTGCAGCTCATAAAGTGCTTTGGCTTGCATTTATTTTTTCATATCAATTTGAATAATTTCAAATGAAACTATTTTAATGGGCACTTTTCATAATCTACAAACTTGAATCCTGAAATAGGATGGAAATATAGATATAAAAGTTATTTTGATCACTGACTTTTTTTGTGTTAGACTCAAATATGATGGATGATTCTGGATTCACGAAGACATGCGAGGCTTGTTTTGTGACATGACTGACACCTTGTCTCATTTGTTTAGAGCACTTAGAGTCAAACCCACACTGATGTCAGATCAGTACGTTCTGAACAAACTTCATTTAGAAAATAACCAGCCACACAAACGCATCATGGGACTATTTATTACAAACTACTGCTAATAAAGTCTAAAAATTCCAAAACCTTATTGATTAATATTTGACAATTTTATAAACAGACATCATAGTTGTGATTTGTTTAACACTCTGGGTTATGCATTTATTTTTGTCAATGTTTGTTTTTATTAGTTTGATTATTTATTTAATTATTTTGAGGTTGTCAAAAATCATTTTTGTTCTGACAAAGCCTAAAAAGCTTTCTATTTAAAAAAATTTTTAAAAAGTTACAATTTTTCACATGGATCCCTTTACCTTACAGTAACTTTGCTGCCCTCTAGTGTTCATTTGAAGAAAAACCAACCACAGCGAAATCCCTTTATAAATGCATTTTTACTCCCGTTGGCTTGACTGAAATCAAGACATCAGTAGCGGACGTTACACACACTGCAGCTTCTTGCTAGTATATCCAGTACAGAAAGATAATAATAACAAATTGAACAAAATACATTTTAAAAATCTCCATAAGCTTAATCAAAAACAAGTTATCATTTTCAGCTCCCTAATCTGGAGGGCATGGGCTGGAGGGTCTTCGCAAAACATCTGAGTGGAATTTTTTTTAAATTGTCAAAAAAAAAAAAAAAATTCATTTTGGGAGTAATTGGGGTAAATGCCTTGTTTTCTTAAATATTTTATTTTATGTAAATATCATCACAAAATAAATATTTTGTCAATTAAAAAAAGCTAATGTGGAGTGTTCCTTTTTAAACTAAAGATCTTAAAAAAGTTTAAAACATTCATTTAAATTAGATGTTTTTTATTTCAGGCTGAGATAGCTCTAAAATATTGGCTATATAATATTATTGAATTAAAAAATACAATTTTAAAGCAGTTATGTAAGGTGGTCGAGTGTCCCCCAAGAAACACATTTATAACATTTAAGAACCTTCCTGGGGTTAATGCAGCTGTTCATAAGCTTCAGTGTGTGGGCATCTGACTGTGTGTTTTTTGTGTTGCAGGTGTGCTGTTCAGCATTGAAGTCACGTCAACCTTTTTTGCAGTGAGGAACTACTGGAGGGGCTTCTTTGCTGCCACCTTCAGTGCTTTTATATTCAGGGTGCTGGCTGTGTGGAACCAGGAGGAAGGTAAAATATATTCATATAAGAGAGGGGATTCTGCATATGATCATGTTTGTGTAGTTTGAGGCACAAGGGTCACATTTTGTCAAAATAAATGTGTGTGTGTTTTTTTTTTTGTCCTAATAAAAAAATTCAGTAGATTCCAGATTCTGTGTTTGTTTAAAGCAGCAAAGTGAGAACAGTCTTGTCTTCCTCAGAGACCATCACCGCTCTCTTTAAGACACGTTTCCGTCTGGATTTCCCGTTTGACCTTCAGGAGCTGCCGGCGTTCGCCATTCTCGGGTAAGCTGGTCTCACCGAAGTGGTGCCACATTAAATCACCTTTACTTTTAAACCTTTTTCTTTTTTCTTTAGCTTAAAGTCACACAGCTGTTTGGAGTCTGTAGGGCAATTTGATTATTTGAAATTGCATTAAAAGCTGCCAAGAGGCCAAATGTGCCAACTTTGTCTGAATTGGCACAACTGGCTTATGTTTCAGCAAAGATTTTGTTTCAGATTTTCAAATGGCATGGTGTTTAATTGTATTTTATTTATTTATTCATTTTAGTTTTATGTTAACTAAACTAATCAGGCTGTTTTTGGGGTTTATCTGCAGGATTGCTTGTGGTTTTGGTGGTGCTCTGTTTGTTTATCTGAACCGGCTGATTGTGGAGTGCATGAGGAAACAAAAGACCATCAACAAGTTCTTGCTGAGAAAGTGAGTACCTGATCCAAGTTTTAATTACTATACGCCCTGATCAGCTACAAATAAGTACGAAGAGGGGCTGTATTATGTTTTCATGAAGTGAAAACAAGTCTCTTGGTGCAAAACCCTGCAAAGCTGGACCAAACAACAATAACACTAAGAACACAACGAGACAAAACACACACATTTGAACTTATTCGAAGGCGTCTGAGCAAAGAAGCAGAATAATGAGACAAAACAAACTTCAGCGAGCAACAGGAGACACAAATAAAACAGAAAACTCAGCTAAACATGAAAAAACGTGCAGAAACATGTCCATTAATGACAGAACAACAAAGCAGAAACCGTTAAAACGATATGAGTACGAAAAGCAACGAAAAGGAAGAAACATCACAAAACTAAAACAACTTTATAGTTCTAAAACACATCAAAATAAACAAGCAAAACAAGGAAAATGCAACACGTAGAAAAGTTTGCCACAGAAACCAAACGCAGCTGTGAAGGAAAAACACAAATGAGCAGAAAATCAAACCGTTAGAAAAAAAAAAAAAACGCAAGACAATTCAACTTAATTCAAAAATACTTTATTAGTCCCAAAGGGAAATTAAATGTTATTGTAGCTCATTATCCTCGTTTCATTAAGAGATGTTATAGATGCTGATGGCTGTAAGCAGGAAGGATGTCTTGTAAAGGTCCTTCCCAAAGTGGATCTGAAGAAAATGCCTACAGATGCCATCCGATCCGTCCACCCAGACTCGGATGGCCTCTCTGTTCCCCCAGGCTGCAGGACCGCCCAAATGCCGGGAAGAACTCCTCCCAGAGTGATGGTCACTCCTCCCAGCAGCCCGCTAAGCTCCTTGTCACTGCGGATAGTCTGCTGCATGCGCTGGGGGATGATCCTGGTCCTTCTGCTGTCACGAGCCGCATTTCCTGCCAGTTCCAGGATCTCAGTGATCAAGCACTCGAGCACAGCCGGTAGGGAGATGGGAATGCATCTACGTCACCTCCTTTTCAACTCATTTGAGATTTGTGGCTGTAGTTGAGATATTATTTAAGCATTGAGATGGTAATCAGCAGCACCCAGTTGTGAATAAACCACCTTGTTGTTATGGTTAGGCATCATAACAAATGTCCAAAAGTTAAAAAGTTTCAGTCAAAATCCTTCCGGCTGAAAAACATCCGATACCAGAAGAAACAATCATCCAAAAAAGGTGATTTACATCCAGAAAAAGAGGAATGAAAGCAATATCTCAGAAACAACACAAGCAAAAACAAGATGCGCATCACAGAACAGCTGCTTTTAGAGGGTTCAACATTTCTCACAAACACTGTGACACCAACAAAAACAATTAAAAAAACAAGACAACAGAAGGCATCAACAAAAAAGAAAACATTTAAAACTTTTGTTTTTGTGTTATTTGCTGATGCATTTTGTCTCGTGTTGTCGAGTTAGTTCCGTCAACTTGAGCGCCACTAACGCCCCTGCAGTCCATCTCTTCCTGTCAGGCGGCTGCTGTACCCGGCTCTCGTCACCCTGCTGGTCTCTACGCTCACGTTTCCTCCGGGCTTTGGGCAGTTCATGGCTGGACAGGTGAGAAAATATGTCTGACGGGATGCAAGCTGGGTCTGACTGTTGTGAGGAAACTGATGGTGAGCGCTGCTGACAGGTTCAAATCCTGGTTTTTAATGAACTGTTTAACAACTGTAATGTTTCTCCATATGGTAGGTCTTTTAATGCATTTTATAAACATGTGTTTGACATGGGATAAAAATCCATAGCAGTGTTTAAAATAAGGAGTAAACGGTTCTGTTTGGCTGTCGAAGGATGTTGAGCTGCTTGCTGCAGACTGCTGCGAGCTGCAGCCTTCACTCACTCATTTAAATGTCATTCAGTGTCACTTTGAGCCTTTCACTTTTTCCTAACCAGAAATAAAATGTGCAGAATGACCCCTGGTCAAAATTACTGAGGGTCATCAGTCGAATGATATTTATCTTGATTTTTTTTTTTTTTTTTAATCACAAATATGGCAACCTGTTCATTTTATGGGATTTATTTTTGATTTTTATGAAATAAGTGTTTTGTAATTTATGTCCATTTTTTTCACTGAAAAGAAGAAACAACACATTTATGAGAAAAAAACATGCAAAATCATCAAATTCTCCAAAAACTAAAACATGCAAATTGCTCTGCTAGCAAAATATTTTACTTTCAGACTGCGCTGCTGTCTGATTCACAAGAAGAGAGCTGCTGGTTGAAATAATGGAGGGATTATAAAACTCTCAGAAGACGATTGTGGCAAAGCATGTTGATAGTGCTCGATGAGCTGTGACGATACGATTTAAAGCCAGAAAAATGTTGTTTTCTGTGAAAATGCAGTGTTGATGCAGAGCGCTGAATGTCTTTGCTTCAGTTTGTGGAAGAACAGACTTCAAACTGAACTGGTCCAAGTTAAAACCAGTAAAACAAAAGCTGAAATAAGCAAGCAATAGCTAAAAGCTACACATGGCAAAACTGTAGCTAAACGCTAAAACAATCATCAAATCTTTCATGAGAGTTTGATCGCTGCAGCAATCCTTGCAGAATGTAGCAGCCTGAAGAAAAAATAACAAAAGCTAAAAAAAAGTTTGATCAAAACAGTATCTTAATGCTAATCTTATTAAAACCAACAAAAGCTAAAATTAGCTAAACAATAGCTAAAAATACCAATAAGCCCAATTACACCCATAAGCCTAAATTAGCTAAACTGTTGCTAAAATCAAACGTTAGCAAAACAATTGCTAAAAGCAAAATAATGAAAAAATTTAACTAAATGCTAAATCTTTCTAAACTGTAGCGAAATGCTAAAACAACAAAGCATTCTCTAAAAGCTATAGTTGAGGAGCAAAATTTAAAAATTAGCAAAACATTAGCTAACCCATAAAAATGACTAAGCTTACTCAAATTAATCAATAATTTGCAAAACAGTTGCTAAGAGCTAAAAATAGAAAAAGGAACATAAATGCTAAATGCTGACGTTTGCATAATCGGTGCCTTAAGACAGTAGCTGAAAGGTTAAAGCATAAGAAGACAGAACTTGTCTGTCTTCTTATAGAGCTTTGCTCTTTGTCCTGTGAATCTTTTTCAGAGCGTCTCACATCTTCCGAGTCGTAAATTATGGATCTGGTCAGCTGGTCTCTCAACGCAATTTATAAAATTTTCTTGACAAGAAGACATGGCAAAGGAGAGCCCTCATATCCTGCAGGGACACTCACAGCTGGATACATGCTGGATTCCTACAGCGAGTGGAAGATGGTGTGTCTGTCCGTATTGTCCATTGAGGATGTTGAAGATGCATACATAATTGGATTTATGATAGCAGGATTTCTGCTTTTTGGAATCGGCAGGTACATGGCATACTGACAAATGTGGAAGATGTTGGCAGCGGTTCAGGCAATTGTGAGTCTGCCTGTCTTGTGCGAAGGAATGTGCCATGCTTCTAGTGATCAGACTCAGATTCTTTGTGAACTAAGCCATAAGCTGGATGGGATTTCTGAGAATCGCAGGCCACTTGCAGCTCCTGGAACTTGCCGGCGTGAAGGAATCGACCATGGAGAAGGCTATAAGCACTGCACGGCGGAGTGACCACAATTCTGGCCGTTTTGGATCGCCACTGAACTGGCAGTGTTCACGGACAACTCACCCCTTCCTGAGGACACCTGTGGACCTGTATCAGAGCTGAGCCCACTGATAGACACTGTACCATCTCTTATCAGGACTATGGAACTTTCTGGCAGTGTTTATGGACAACTCACCATCTTTGTCTGCCTCCTCTCATAAATGTATCGTGACGTCATTATGTGCTGTTTATGTGCAAGATCTTTTTTTTTTCAACTCTCACACTGTGCCCCGGCCAGGACACAGTGCGGGATATGATTTTTTTTTTTTTTTTACCTCCCCCTCGTGTTTTCTCTTTTCCACACTTTTTGTCTTAAACAGGTCTCATTTGTAAACGAGTCTCCAAGGCTCAATGTGATTAATCTATAAATAAAGGTTGAATGAAAAAGAATAATAAGACAGTAATAGAGCCAACAGGCTGAAGTAGATTTCAGACAGCAGTGTAGTTTAACTTGAGAGATTTTAATGTATTTCAAATGAGTGAATACAAAAAATAATGCAAAAAAGTATAAAAGTTGCAAACATTAAAGTCTTAGCACAATGAATAAATAAACACAAAGTATGTGGAAGTAGTTTGCTGCAACAAGGTTTTTGTGTCATTACATTGTTGTTCTTCTCTTCTCATTATGAATACATGCTTTTAGACTTTAAACCGTTGTCTCTTTAAATAAATAAAAAATGTGTCTTTTTCATTCTTTAGCAGCAGGTTGGTGTTTTCGGTGTCAGCAGGAGGTTTTGTTCATGTCAGTGATGGCCTGAACAAACTGCTTGTGTTGTTGTCATCCTGTCAGCTGACGCAGCACGAGTCTCTGGTCGCTCTGTTTGACAACCGTACGTGGTGCCGTCAGGGCGTGGCTGAGGAGTTCCACTACATCAGCCACCATCACGCCTGGAAACACCCTCAGGTCAACGTCTTCATCACGCTCGTTCTCTTCATCGTCATGAAGGTGAGCTTGGAACAAGGACTTCAGTAGAACCTTGGAAACAGCCTCGCGCTGCTCCACTAATATTTCCGGTTCTCTCCCTCCCAGTTCTGGATGTCCGCTGTGGCCACCACCATGCCCGTTCCCTGTGGAGCCTTCATGCCTGTGTTTCTAATCGGTGAAGACATACCTCCATGTTTCTGACTGTTCGCAGTCGTGGTCTTCCCTGTGAGGTTTAACCTCCTGCTGTGTCTGTGTGACTGACAGGTGCAGCGTTTGGCAGACTGGTTGGTGAAATCATGGCAGCCACGTTCCCCGATGGCATCCACGCAGACGGCAGTGTGTACCCCATAGTCCCAGGTGGTTATGCTGTAGTTGGTGAGTTGCCGTAAATCAGTCTTTTTAATCTATTGTCAGCTATTTTCTTATTTTTAGGGTAATTGTGTTTATTTTTAGCTTGTGCCAGTGTTTCCCACCTTCTTGCTGTCTCTCCTCAGGTGCAGCAGCTCTGTCTGGAGCTGTCACTCACACCGTATCCACAGCCGTCATTGTTTTTGAGCTGACCGGTCAGATCTCTCACATCTTGCCCGTGATGATCGCCGTGATCCTGGCCAACGCCGTGGCGCAGGCACTCCAACCGTCGCTTTACGACTCCATCATCCGCATCAAGAAACTCCCCTATCTGCCTGAGCTGGGGATGGGACATCACGAGTCAGTTGTTTTTTCTCCTCTTTATATCTTACGCCTCAATACTTTGCTTTCTTGTTTGTTTGTTTTTTTCTGTCTCACCTCTCTCTGCTCCTGCTTCCCGTTCCTGGTTCAGGAAGTACAACATCCGCGTGGAGGACATCATGGTCAGGGATGTGCGTTTTATCACTCTGAACTCTTCATACAGAGATCTGCAGGAGATGCTGCTGACCAGTCATCTCAAAACGCTCGCCCTGGTTGAATCAGGAGGTACGTCTGTATCTGCTGTAACTATATTTTAATTTATTTATTTGTTTTGCTCTGTCTAGACCTTAAACCTTCTCTCTCTACTCCAGTCTATCTGACATATGCATATTAAACAAAGTCTTTATGAACTGGATTGTTATGGTCTGAGTGATAAATTGATTTAAAACAACGGCTATATGAAGGCATTTTAATAGTAACCCCTCTGTACTAATATCTGAACATGTGTGCTTTTTCTTGTATTATGCCAGCTATTCCTTCACCTTTGCTAAACGTGTATTTAAAATGATCTAACTGTTAACTTGCAGAGAGTAATCACTGGATGCACATCTAAAATGAATAACTTTAGGAGTCAGTCTGATTCAAGATGGCTGCCACAGCTCAGTGACTTTATAAAACACTAACATGGTCACAGCTCAGTCAGTTTTACAGATATTGTGCTAAATTATGGCGTAGTCTTGAAGATCCATTCACAGCACACACACTTGAGTTTGACACTTTCAATATCACATGTATTACATACATAAATACAGATACATTAGATACATAAAATTATTTTAGTTTAAAACTTGCATGAAAGGCAGCGGGCAACATGCATTCCTTTAAGGAATGCTAGGCTTTCATCTCTATATATCTGTCTCTATCCTTAAAATATGTTTTATATCTGTACTTCCTGCTTACATCATGTTGGAGCCATTGGGGAAGACTCCTTCTTTTTTAATGTGGCAGCCATCTTGCCCCTCCAGCTTCTCCCAAACCTTCGTAATTTGTGAAAAGCAAAAATGAAAATAATGTCTACGATATATAACTGAGCTTGACTTCATTATTTTCAGCCGTGTGGGCCATTTTTTACTCTTTTTGATGCAGTGGGCAAAATATTTCTGAGCGTTAATCTTAAAAATATCATGCATTAGCCAAATAATGGGAAGTAGATGCTGCTTGCAGCCTCACAGAACCAAAAAACGGCTGATAAAGCATCTGTCTAAAATATGTGTTTTTGTGTCATTAGTTTTTCAGTTTAATGCAGAGGTTTGCAAACTTGGGTCTCCATCTAGAGACCTAAGCCCTCCAGTGTTTGATTACTAGAGGCCATCTTGTCCCAGTTCGTTTCTATCCTGACTCCTCTGCTCCGTCCTCAGAGTCCATGATCCTGCTGGGCTCCATCGAGCGGCTGCAGCTCCAGTCCCTGCTCTCCCTTCAGCTGAGCCGCCAGCGGAGGCTCGAGTACCTCCGCCAGCTGGCCCAGGACAACGGCACCCCCGACTCTCTGCCCAGCCTGACGTCCGACAGCTCCCCCAGCTCCCCATGCACCCACGTTCACCTCAACGCATCCACCAACGCCAGCGCTCGCCAAGGGGTCCGCTTCCTGGTGAGCTCCCAACAGGTGTGAGGCGTCTGGGGGGCGTCGGGGCGGGGCTGGGACCAGTCTGCCGTGGGTTGGGTTTTAGCAGTAAGACTAATCAGGAGCAGCATGTGAGCAGCATGTAGCAGTAGGTAAAGGCACAGATAGAGAGCTGGGACTTCTTGTTGTGGTAAGTGTTTACATAGAAACTACATTTTCAGAACTTTTTGATTAATTCATGTCCTCTTTGTCTCTGTTGTCTGTGCCCTTACCTGTGCTGTCCTGTTTGTGCCCTGCACGTGCTCGTCTTTGTGTCCGGCTCCTTCTGTTAATCCACTTTCCATGCAGATCTCCACAGAGGAGTCCTCCTCCTTCAGCCCGGTGGTGTCCAACGCTCAGCTGCCTCTGAAATCTGCCTTGAAATCTGTATCCGCCATCAGCAACACGGAGACGCCCAACAGTACGTGTCTCACACCCCTAAAGAGAGCTCGCACAGAGAAACAAATCTGTCAAACGTGGAGGACGCACACGTTGAACAACGTTGTGATGCAAAGGCAGCGTTAATGAACCTGCTTCGTTTTCTTTGTCAGGCTCACAGACTTTCTCTTGTGCTGATCAGGACAAGGAGCTGCTGGAGGTGAGTAATACTGTTTGAGCGTTACGTAAGAGCGTGACGTGCACTGTGTGTGAGAGGATGTGTGTGTTTGTGTGTGCTCTCTCTGAGTCCATGCTTGCCGCACTTTTGCCACTCATCTCGAAGGCAGCAGAACGTTCAGGTTTGATCTGTGGTCCTAGATCTTTCTCCAGTCGGTGACTGCACCCTAGCTACACAGCGTGCTGCCGATTCACGAGCATCCTGCATTTTAGTGCTTCTTCGATGGATTTCAGGTGCAGGCGGTGTCCTGCAGTGAGATATTCTGCAAAAATAAACCCACAAAGTCTTGTAAACTGTGTTTAAAATACTGAAAAGAAGATCAGAGATTTAAAACTTTTAGCCAAATTTTGAGAAATTACGTCACAATAAATCTAACTATTTAACATATTTCTGTTAGTTCAGAAAGTCAGAGCTGAAACAGTGGCGAACTGAACCTTCTTCACTAAGTCTCTGTTATTATACTGATTAATAATCAACCATACAATTAACATTTTACTTCTTTTTTATTATTATTTCTCCCCACTATTAGTTTTAGATTATTGGTTGCCTTTGGTCATTGTGTCTAAATGTTCCACAAGTAGACAGAAATGAGCTGTTTTAACATCAGAAGGGACAAAAAGTGTGAAAATATGACAAGTCTTTTAGTTGCTTTATTCTTACAAGTGAACAGAACTTATTTAGATTTTTATGCAAAAACATCCGGGTCACCTCAAGTATTATTTTACCAGAACAATATTATTTATACAAATATTATGACTGGTCTATCTGAAATACTCTCTTTCAATTTATTGTAAAGACTAGGGACCTTTTAAAAATATTCCCCATCATGTTTCACTTGAAACTCTAAATTATTATCTACCGGTATATAGGAACTTGTTCCCTGAGGGGACCAAATTTAAAATCTATCAGAGGGCTGCAGGCCAAATGCAAATACATCTTTAAGTAAAGTCTATTTATTCATTATACAGTTATTTAACCTTCCATTCTGTATAAAGAATATTACAGAACACAAAATATAACCAATAAGTCATATATATAAGAAATTAAAACAAATATTGAAATTTTAACATTTCAGTATAGGTATATGTAGTGCAAAATGTAAAAAAATGCATGTACAACAGCAACACAATGTAACAGCAACAATAATATGAACATAAATAAACAGTCCCATATATACTGTAGTCATTGGGACAACTTTTCCATCTAATGTTAAAGTCAATGGGTGGAATGACTGAGTGAAAACACATTGATTCTTTAAAAGAAGTTTTAGTAAAGTAACGAGGACAGCTTGGCGAGCCAACCCAAACGGCTTGACGGGCCAACTTTGGCCCGCGGGCCCCACTTTGGGCACCTATGATTATAGATAAAGTCATAAAATCCCATGTTAGGTAACATTGTTTACAAATATTAAAAATTATGAGTTTGCATGGCCTTTTCCCCCCACACTAACAATATTTACTGCAACAAAAGCAAAATGTTTCTGACTTTTCTGATGTGAATACAATAAATGAAGTGTCAAATGTTTGCAGTGTGAGCCAGTTTGGTTCTGTTTAGAGTTGAAGTTAAAGCTTTACATTTTAGCCGACCTCTGAGTGCCTTCCAGAGAAAAAACAAAAAAATAAAAATCAGCTTCATCAATTTTTCCGCAGCAGCAGAAGTTGAACCGTTGTGCGTCTGTTTTACTGCAGTGCAGTGTAGCAGTTTGTTACACCTTAGTTTTGCAGGTAAAAATATCTGATGGAGATGGTTGAACTCCACTTTTTGCATTCTTGTCTTGTAGCAGCAGTGGTTTTAAAAAAAAATCTAAATTGATTATTTTTTTAATCTACTAAAAGCGACATTTAGGCAACAGCTGAAGCACTAAAACGTGGGATGTGGGGAGCCTTTTTCCTGGCTGTGGCATTAGACGCCTCTTAAAGACTTTGTGCCTTCATCTTCATCTGTGGGGTAGTAATTATACCCTTTCAGGAAAACTGCTCACATCACCGAGTCCTCTCCCAGCAGAAGTCAGACTGAAATCCAAACGTGTCCATGATGTGGCTCAGATAATTAAAAACAGTGTCCAGTCTGTGTGAACCTGTGTTAATCTTGTGCTGTGATGCCTTCTCTCCCCCGGCTGGAAGAGTCCGGCCAGGCCGGCTTCTCCTGAAAACAGAAAGTCCAAACCCAGCCGAGTGAGGATCTCCATGGCGGTAAGACTGTCTGCCGCCTAGAGACTGTTGCTTAGTAACGGTTGCCTTGCAACATGCACACAGTACGAGCTGGACCAAAATATGTGTGGCTCTGCAGAGAGAGCGCGTGTGTGAGGAAAGTGAACGTGATTGTGTTTTGACATCTGTGTTGTACTTTAGTTTGTTAAACTGATGTTTCTGTGTGGCTGTGTATATTCTGTTTTTTT